TACGTGTTATGGCTTTGGATTGTGCAGCTACTACTGGTTCTAAAGCATCAAATATGGAGGCTAAACATCCTCAACTTTCAATTGGTGTTGAGCAGGATGCACTTTGATTTTGAAACCTACTGTTGCAGTGAATGCAAATGAGGATCGAGCTACTACTAGGGTTGTTAATTATATGAAAAAGGTGCAGGCCAGGTACTTGATTCTCCAAGAAAATCTGCTACAAGGAGTAAGGACTGGACAGTGGTGAATCAAACACCTGGCAAAAAGCAGTGCCCAGGCCTCCAAAAACAAGTTTTACCATCAAATACTATTGGTATGTCGAACACTTTTGATGATTTGGTGGATGAGCGTGACCATGATGTGAAGGAGGCTGGGAATGAGGTGAAACAACTGGACGATGAGGCAACGTTAATCACTTGAAAAACCAATTTGTTAGGCAGCGGAGTGCAGCAGCAAAATTCAAAAGAAACAGGTGCTCGACCACATGTTTCAAAGAAAATTATATTTTTTGATGCTATTACTAACCAAGAACCTAATGAAGTTGTACCAATACTGAAATCAACCAGTCGAGAAATTGCAAAATTTGTAAAGGAAACACACAGATTTGTTGATGAATAAAAATCCTATGATCAAGACAACTTTGCTTATGTTAAACACATCAGTCCATGATGTTCCCTCCCAATCTATAGATTCATTTGGTGAACAAAATGGAGATTCATTGTAATAATTACTATCTAGTGGAAACAATCAACAATTAGTGCAAACAATTTCCCAAGCAAATTCTACAAGCGAGATTATTGTTTCTAAGGATGAACAAGTTGTGACAAGTGCAACTATGTTTAATAGAAAGACATGGGTTGATCAAATAGAGGAGGATGAAGAAGATTATGCAGATAGCCTTTAAGATGATAGTGATGATGCTGCAGAAGATTATGCAGATAGCCTTCAAGATGATAGTGATGATGCGGCAGATCAGTTTTCATCGAGTCCTAGATCCAATGAAGAGGCAGCAAAGGTGAATAATGAGCAGGTTTCCAATTCAACTAATAGTGTGTCAAGCAAGAGAGATTTAAGCCCAAATGCACCTATTTTTTTACCATCCGGGCAGCAGTAAATTGCAGCAATTGGCTTGAGGAATAGCTCTAATTCTAAGACTCTCCACAAGCCCATAACTACTGGCGGATTGGCAAGCACAAGTTCTCCTATTGCAAGCTACAATTTGACTCCTACTAATATACTACAAGCTCTTGTTTCTCATGACATGGAGACTTTGAAAGCTCTTGATAATCCGGGCAAGACAGTAGTTACTACTTCCACACCTATTGGTATTGTGGCCAAGAGAAATGAGCTCGGAGCGTTAGTGGCCGGATACAATCCTACTAAAGTTTTTGGTGTGGATATGGGTCAAGGTTTCTATGAGGAAGGGGAAGGGGAAGAACTTCTAGATGCAAGATTTACCAATGTAACTAGGGATGTAGATCTTTCACCTAGACACTTGAGAAGTGATTCCAATAAAAGCAAGAAGAAAGCACATCAGAGGCAACATACTTGGGATGGTAAGGTGACACAAGGGGCTGTCATTAGGCAACTCCCAATGAGGGTTGTAAAGTAAAAGAGGGATGCCCCTACCACATTCACAAGGTCCAATAAATCCAAGAAGAAGTGACGAAGTTTGAAGATTTTTTGAAGATAGTTGAAGAGGAAGACAATGAGCTATAGGTTAAACAACTCACAAGTTTGGAGAAGAAGGGGCAAGGCTCTAATTTCTACTTCATTTTATTTTACCATTTTGTTAGTATAATCATATATAATATCATCATAGAGTGTGTAATAAACTCTGTGATGATAATAGAGTATCTAGTATGTTCCAATTCGTATTTCTTACATACTTGCTAGTACTCTGTAAGGTAAGGTCTAGCTCAGTAAGTGTTTGCTATATGTCTTATGCCTTTGAAAAATATCCAAATGGCTATGAGATCATTCGCCCTCGTGAGACTTTACCGGCAGTAGTCATGAGGCTCCCATCATGAGGCGATGGAGGCGCACAGGGATGATTATATAGCCAAGGCAATAGAGGCAACACTATTGTAGCTTTTGCCCTCCTTACTTGTACTCTTCCTTCGTGATTTTTTTTTTTTAATTATTAATAAAAATAGCTACTAGGTACTCTGCCCAGTAGTATAATTTGCTTTTTAAAAAAAAGGATCGTTGCATCAAATTATTATCTTTTTGAAATAAAAGTTACTATGCATTTAGAGACGAATAAATAATAGTTTCTAGACATTAAAAAAGAAAAAAATTGTCTTCCTAATTATTAATAGTGCCATACAGTGGGGAGATAGTAGTATTAAATATTAAAACCTACAACATAATACTGAAATCATTTAAATAGAGAGCAAGTACGTAGTGTAAACTAAATCTCTTGACTAAAATCATAGAAGCAGAGTATATTTTTATAAGAGTTGTGCTCCACCTGTACCTACCATGTATCTTCATTAAGCTTTGTGCAAAGCTTCTAATAAGTTAGGTGGATTTGTTCTAACCCTATCTTGAAGTGAACAAGCTAAAATATCCGTTCAAAAATAAAGAACTACTTAAAAGTCACCTGGTTGTCGAGCCCTTGCAGATATACTTTATTTTAAATTTAAGTTATATATATTAATAGCTTAAAAGTTTTTATTTACCAGTGTAATTTAATGGATTACAGCCACAAGGTTGTGTGTCCTCCTTATGTATTAACAGTGAAAAAAGTTTATACTATCAAATTTGTTATGAGAGATCAACTTAATTTGCTAGTGTAAAAAGCTTATATACAGTCAATGCAAGAAAAAAAAAACAAGTTCAGTTCTTTTTCTGTTTTTTTTTTCGTGTTCATACTTTTATTGAATGGTGTAGTTCCCCTGTTGAAAAATAACTTTTTACTCTGCAAAATTGTTTTTAATAGAAAGGGTGTGAATTCCTTGTTGATAATTTTTTCTTGTGAAAATTCATTTTAAGAGAAGAAGGATATTAGAATTGTGATTCCTTATTGAAATTATTTTTTGGTCAAATGAAAATTTTATTAGCCAAGGAAAATTTGTACAGCACCTGCTCTTTTTTGTTTTAAAGCAAATATGCCATTCGACTTGATGCCTTGTAGTGAATATATTAATAATAATTCAAAATAGGAATCTAGTTAATACAATATATGTAAAAATGCAAATGAAAGTAGGAAAGAATAATGTAATCTAGCTATTACAAAAGTTTGACTTGAACATGTTCCAGTCGAAGGTTCTTTTTGTAACCTCTAGTCAAGTGCAAAACCTCAGTGTAGCACCTCAAACGCTCTCATCAAGCGCCATGTTTTGCGTACCAAAAGGATTAGGCCAACTTGAATCGCTAACGTACACCTCCAATTGTTGTTGTTGTCCAAACTTATGATGGGGCGTGCAAACACTTTGAGACCTTTGTCTTTCCAATTGTTGTGACTAGTCGACTGGTAGATTACCCATAGCCCTTATCCCACAATAACTTGGCCATCTTCGATTGAAAATAAGAATTCCAGCAGAAGACAATCAGTTGCACTAAATAGTTGATACAGTTTCTTCCCGTGTGGTGCTATACATTTCCCAGAATGAGCATTATACAATGCTAATACCACTGGTAGGCGATACAGCACCATACGTTAAATAACCTGTCCAAAGCTTTCCAGCTTAATCAGTGTAATAAAGCTGCCAAGACCATTTATGTTACACGTCGACTGGTAGATTACCCATAGCCCTTATCCCACAATAACTTGGCCATCTTCGATTGAAAATAAGAATTCTAGCAGAAGACAATCAGTTTCACTAAACAGTTGATACAGTTTCTTCCCGTGTGGTGCTATACATTTCCCAGAATGAGCATTATACAATGCTAATACCACTGGTAGGCGATACAACACCATACGTTAAATAACCTGTCCAAAGCTTTCCAGCTTAATCAGTGTAATAAAGCTGCCAAGACCATTTCTGTCACACCAATAATGCAAGCTTGAGGATGAGTAATTGATGAGTAACTGCAGGGACTATCTTGTGTTTGATATCTTGGAGAAGCCTTTGTATTTAACATTAGTACACAGATGTACTGATTCATTAATCTAGAGCTCTCCTTTTTGCAGTCCTAACCCTTAGGTTAGGATTTTGTAGCTTGTCAAGATTTAATATTCTCCTCCATGTACTGGGCAGTTCAGAGAAAGAGAGGAATTGATTTGTACATGCACCAGAAAATACTATGTTAGCTATAAAATCTGTGAGAGTATTGCCTTCTCTGAATATATATTGAAGGATCACATTAAAATGATTTTTCATCTCCTTAATTTTTTGAACTTCTGCACTTATACACCAGGGTGAGTCACATTCCCCTTCTATGACTTTCTTCAAGTCAATGAGTCAGTCTCCAATATCAGTGGATGCTTCTTGTGTGTAACACAGTATTCCAGTCCCTGGAGTATTGCTTGTGCTTCAGCTACAACATTTGTGGTCACACCTATGTCGACTGACTTTGCATACACTAGATCTTCAGCCTCATTTCTAACACAGAATCCAATTGAGCTAGGCCTTGGGTTTCCTTTAGAGTCTTCATCAGTGTTACACTTATACCAGCCTACATGTGGAGGTTGCCAGTTAACTCTCTTGGTGATCAGTATTGGCTTGTATGCTTCAAAGAATTGGATCATATCTGGCCACAAAGTAGGTATGTTTGTTAGTCATGGATACCTTGTCTTTGCCAAGTAATGAAGTGTCTTGTTGACTTCATGTATGACTCTATTTGTTGAGACTATTCCTCCATACTTTCCTGTGTTTCTCCTTTTTCACAGTTCCCAGATAATGATAGCTGGTGTTGCTTGAAATAAAGTTGCAATTTTGGACAGCATTTTGCATTCCATCTTGCTCGTACCACTTGCTTTACTTGTATTACTGGTTCAGTAATGCCTGCAGCTGCCATAAAATGTTTCCATACCTTTGATGTTGTGTTGCTTGTCAAAAAAATATGTTCATATGTCTCTTCCTGGGGATGTTTACAGCACCAACATCTGGAAACACATTTGTATCCCTGTTTTGAAGTGGATCCAGTACTGAGAGTAGGTACACTGGCATACTTTGCAGAACACTAGTGATTAGTGTTGCTTTTCCTCCATATGATAATAGCTTCCTTTTCCAAGCATGTAGCTTAGCTTTCACCTTTTTGATAAGATCTTGATAATAGTCTTTCCTTCTTCTAGTGTAGAAGATGGGGTACCCTAGATACATGAATGGAAACTGACCTCTTGTTAATCCTGTGATGTCTTCCACTTTCTGTATTAGAGCATTAGCAGTATTTGCATGCATATGGTAGGAGCTCTTAGCCCTGTTGATTTGCTGACCAGAGATTTGTTCATAGTTGCTTAATACTGTCATGATCTTCTTCAAGGAGGGTTGATGAGCTGGTGCAAAAATCATGGTATCATCAGCATATGCTAAGTGGTTTAGGTGTTTTGTCCACTTGGGCATACCAAATCTCCGAAATGATTCATCCTCACATAATCTGTTCAGTGACCTAGAGGGTACCTCTGCAGATAATATGAAGAGTGCTGGGGAGAGTGGATCTCCTTCCTTCACTCCCCTTGTTGATTTAAAGAATCCTGACGATAGTCCATTAACTAGTATTGAGTACCAATTGTTGGATAATAGGTTCCAGATCAGGGTGATGAAATGTTCTGCAAACCCCATTTTTTTAATACATGCTTCAAATACTTCCATGATACTCTGTCATACACCTTCGACATGTCAAGTTTAATTATCACATTAGCAGGTTTACCCCTCTTCCTTATGTCTGTGACTATTTCCTTTGTAAGAAATATATTTTCAAATATGCTTCTTCCTTTCATAAATTCAGATTGATTTGGAGAGATATACTCAGGTAAGAACTTTTCTAATCTGTTATGTAGACATCTGGATAGTACTTTGTTGATGAAATTGCTCAAACTGATGGGTCTTAGGTCTGAAAATGATTCTGGTCTTTGTTTCTTTGGTAGCATAACCAAGTTTGTGTGAGTGATCGATTTTGGTAATGCTGCCCTTCCAAATAAATGTAATACCATGTTATGAATGTCATTGCAGATGATCTCCCAGCATTTTTGATAAAATATGTTAGTGAACCCATCGGGACCACTAGAACTATTTCTATTTAACCCAAAAATAACTGTTTTTACCTCTTCCAACGTTGGATACCTACATAACTCCAAATTCTGATCCATAGATACCATAGCAGGAACATGGTTAAGCATTGAAAATTCTGTAGGGTCTCCCTGTTTTGAGAACTGATTTTGAAAGAATTCAACTGCGGCAATAACAATTTGATCTTGGTCTTCTAGCCAATTCCTTGTTCCATTCTAGATCCTTTTTATTTGTAACTTCTTCCTCTTGCCATTGACATGATTGTGGAAGAAGCTCATATTTCTATCACCGTCAGCAAACCAAGTCATTCCAGCTTTCTGCTTCCAGTACTGCTCCTCCAAACTTAGGTATTTCTTCAATTCTGATTAAGTTCTCTAAAGGATGATTATGTTCTCTATTGTTGGATCCTCCTCAAATAACATTTCTTTAACCTTCACAATATCTTCTAGTATTGCTAATTGTTTGAATATGTCCCCAAAGGTCTGCCTACTCCATTGTGATAGTGTTGTCTTTACTTTATTTTGCTTGTGTTGAACATCAAAAAGGGGTCTCCAATGAAATCTGCATGCCAATTCTGTTTTACTACTTCCATGAAGGTTTCATGTTTTGTCCAGAAATTCAAGAATCTGAATGGTCTAGCAAAGTTTGCAGCTTTTTATCCTCCAGTCATCAGTAGTGGCGCATGATCTGATCCAGTTCAAATTAAGTGCTCAACTTCTATTGTAGGAAGCATATTTTGAAATGGTAAATTCACAAATATCCTATCCAATCTTTTGAATATACAGGCTGCATTAGGCCTGCCATTCTATCAAGTGAATGGACTGCCCTTGTATCCTTGATCAAATAATCCACATGAGTTTGTACAGAACGCAAAATTATCATATTCTAGCGGATGTACTGGTAAGCTCCCTATTTTCTCATCCTCATGTAACACCACATTGAAATCCCCTCCTACTAGCCAGGGTAACTCCATATCACTTACCAAATAATACAGATTATTCCAGAGTTTCAATCTTTCCAGAGATGAGCATTTTGCATACACAAATGTTATTATTAATAGTTGTTCAAGTTCTTGGTGTAATACCTTCACTATCACATGTTGTTCTGTATCCATGACCAATTCCCACTCCACCACATCATCAAAGAATAACCATATCTTTCCATTGATATTTGAAAATGCAATATCCATATTTAGCCTTTGTTTGTACCTTTGAATATGCCTTGCATTCTGGAAAGGTTCCATTAATGCGATGACAAAGAATTTGTGTGCTCCCTTTGCATATTAATCACCCTTGGAAAGGCCTGTTGAGTGTTGACATACCTGATATTCCAAATGAGTGTTTTAATCATTATTTGGAGTGCGATGTTTCCCTCCTGGGCAGTATTCTGGTTGGTTTTTGTAGCTCTTAGTTTTGAATTTGCTTCCTTGACTTCTTGCCTCCGTTGAATTAAATTTAGGGGATAAGTCAGCTTCTCTTTCCACTTGATGGAAGTTCCCAGCATTTAATTCATTATCCTCTTCTTCTTCAAGTTGATGTTGTTCTAGTAGAACTATGTCAACAGGTTCCAAATTGTGAGTGACTAGGTCGTGCAGTGTCTGTAATGGTGATTTCATTGGAGCATTTAGTTGCAATTGCGTACCCTATTCTGTGGCTGATGAACAAGTTATCTGCATATTTCCAGATTCCCTTATAACAATTGCTTGATCCTCATTCATCTTCTCATATTGCACCAACATCCTATTAGCCACATGCAATAAAGTTAAGATCTTTACACAATTTCTCAAAAGTCAACAAAGGTCAACCCTGGGCATGCCCGAACAAAACCCGATTACAAGGATAGATCTCGACTACTCATAAACCCACGAGTCCGTATATGTGTTTTGTTATCAAATCCGAGTCCAATTTGATTCTCAAATCTCAAATTTTTATTTTTCAAAATATAGACAAAAATTCTTAAAATTTCCCTTCAAATCTCATAATTTAGATATTAAATCATATATATAGTCATGTAATATAATTTAAAATTGATCAAAATCACTTACCCAATAGTTGTATGTGAAAATCCCTCCTCAAAATCGCCTCCTATCGAGTTTAGAATTCCAAAATATGATAAAATGAAGCTAAGTCCCGTTTCCAGCCCTTTTGTTCAGGTACAGAAGTCGCAATTGCGACTCAGGGTTCGCAAATGTAAACCCTTGCAAATACAGCGCCTGATGAACCCGAGGATAGTTGCAAATGCGACCCTGACTTCGCATTTGCAATGCAAAGTCAGACCCTTCGCAAAAGCGATCATGTGATCGCAAATGCGATCAAGCATATGCCCAGGTCCCCCATCGCAAAAGCGAACACAATGTTCGCAAATGCGAACTAGTCAGTCCTCAGCCCACCTCGCAAATGTAACCCCCTCCTCGCAAATGCGAACTAGATCTTTCATTTGTGAGACCTGAAGCATCAGTCCAAAGCCAGCAAGACTAAAACTATTTCAACTACTCCGCAACGTGACCGAAACTTACTCGAGCCCTCGGGGTTCCTTACCAAAGATCCACACAAGTCTAAAAATATCAAATGAACTCGCTCTTGTGATCAAAACACCAATAACATCCAGAACCACTAATCGGACCTCAAAACACATGAAATCTGCAATGAAACTCAAGAACTTCTAAAAACACAACCACACGTCTGATTCCTATCAAATCAACTTGGAATGACGCCAAACTTTGCGAAAAAGTATCAAATAACAAAATGGACCTATTACAAGTCCCGAAGCAAAAATCCGAACCCAATAGACAATAAGTCAAACCATGATCAAACCTAAGGAATTTCTAAACCTTCAAATTGCCAACTTTCGGCAAAACAAGCTAAATCAACCTAGAAACTTCTGAATTCAACTCCGCGCATACGGTCAAGTCCAAAATCACAATACGAACCGATCAGAACCATAAAAAATACGGGGTCGTTTTCATAAAATTCAAACCTCGGTCAACATTTACAACTTAAGCTTCTAAAATGAGAATTATTTTTTCAAATCAATCCCCAATCATTCAAAAATCGAAATTGACCATGCACGCAAGTCATAATACACGATATGAAGTCACTCATGACCTCGAACCACTAAACGGAACGCTAAAGCTCAAAACGACCGGTCGGGTTGTTACATTTTCCCCCTCTTAAACAAACGTCCATCCTCGAACGTGCCAAGAGTTGTTCCAAAACCATCAAAACACTGTATGAACTCACCATACACATACACAAGGGTGACCCCATGTCACCCCAATCCACATAAGCCCAGAAGCACCATCTATTCCTTCCACTCATACCAATAATCCTTAGAACCAAATTTCAACATCCCCTAAAGACCCGATTCCCGCATAAACACATTGTATCAACCTCAACTAACTGCAAAAACTCTGCATACACACACAAGGTATAACCACACGACGTAACACATCACCCATATGCCCATAGCAACAACTCTGACCACAATAGCTGCTCATTACCAAACTCGGTACCGGTAAATAGCCTCATAAAGACTAGGACCTTGTTCCAGACCTTCACAACACCGCTAATGATGTGAGAACATGTGAAACTCGTAACTACTCACCCGGCCAACAAGCCACACCAAATGCCACCCGGGCACATACATGACAATCCCAACCCAACAAGCATAACTCGAATATGACTGAATATGGAAAGAGAAACACTTGAGAGAACTATCAAACAAGTTCAATAGGTACAACTCCCCATCGGTACCATACTACAAATCTATTCCATAAGGAAGAGGCAAGACACACGCAATAACTGCAACGAATCTTACCCTAACATAACCCCACCGCGACACATAGCCCGGTCCAGACACACCTATCCACAAAGAACACAAGGTTCCCACTCTCAACTCAGAATCACAAGTACGATAAGCATCTCAACAACTAAACCATTCAACTAACTCAATCCGGTAGAACCAAAACCACAACACATAACAGACTTCCCATACCCGTCGAGCACCCAAATCACAAGTCGTGGCCAAACCACCTAGAAATCACATCAAAACCTACCGTATAAGTAGCAGGAAGTCTACCCTAACCTCATAACACTCAATAGTGACCAAACTAGAATGATAAACATGGGATATCCCAATAGAATCCCCAACTAGTGCAGTCACCCAAACAGAGCTCAAGAACCACGAAACACAACCATATATGAAGCAAGATAGGAGGGTCATACTAATAAATAGGACCAGATCAAAGTAAAACTGGTGCATCTTTATAACAAACTGAAACCATACCTGTAGCTACATCATCTGGTGCAAAAGCCTCAGCCCTACCAGAGAAAGCATAACAACGGGTCAGGCCTCCCCCTCTAGGATGCCCTCATTCCTCTTGTCCCCCATCTCTAACTAGTTGCGTAAGTATAGTAGCAACTAGAGCATAACCGTGGATAACTAGTTGTGTAAGTATAGTCAATTTTCCACATATAAGGTCATTTACACACTCAAGATCTCGTGTAAACGTCTTCCATGCAATTTAAATAGTGTAATTAAACTCAATCCTATGG